GACTTGCCCAAGGTACACAGGGAGTCAGTGGCGGAGTCAGGAATTGAACCCAACTCATCCCCGCCTGGTGCCTGAACCACAAGAGCATGTTTCTGGTTGCTGAAGTTCTCCAGCACAGCAGAGCATGGGGAGCGGCTTCCCCAGGACACCGTGTATCCCATGCCCTGCAGATGTGGGGAAGACCTGGCTTGGAGGGACCCTGCGTACTAGCCAGAGGGCAGTGGCACTCCCATGTCACAGCCAGTCCTTGGTCTTCTGCTGAGACTCGCAGCCAGAGGGCTGGTCACTGCCAGCTTTGGGAGGCCCTTGGGCGGGAGGTGTCATTGCTTCGCCACAGAGAGCTGTTCAGAAGCTCCCTGCGGAATCCTCTCGTCTCTGCCCGGGGGCACGGCTGAGCTGGGCTGGATCTGAACCGGCTGCCTGGCAGCAAAAGGCTCCGTACCCCACTGCTGATCTCCCCATTGCTTAGAGCTGCTTGGAGCGCGTGAGAGCTGGAGCCATTGCGCGCCGGGAGGGCAAAGGGGTCCTGAACTCCACAGCTGGCTGGGCTGGCCGGGGGGTATCCTGTAGCCCCTAAGAAGCACAGGTGTGGTGGGTTGGCATGGGCATGGGGATGGGGGGAGGAAGCAAAGAACCGGAGTTTGCCAGTACTAAATTCAGCTGGAACCGGCAAACGAATAAGACCAAGTCTCAGGCAGACTCACCCCATCTTCCTAACCAAAGTCCCAGCCACCTCGGAGTCTGGGACTTGGGCAGGTTCCTGCCCTGCTCTGCCAAGCCCCTGCTCTGGGGGCGAACGCGAGGCAGCTCCGTCCATTCCCTGTGGCTGGGCCGGGCCGGGCAGACTGTGGGGTCTGGAGGGGAACGTTAGGGGAACGAGTCGCAGGCTGGGATGCCGTGGGGCTGGGAATCAGAGGCTGGTAAGGGGGCAGGGTTAATGCTGCAGAGGTGGGGAAGGAAGCCAGAGGGGGGAGAACTGCCTTGGTGAAGGGGCACTGGGATGGGTGAATGGCTGTGAGTGCTGGTGACCCTCTGGTGACTGTGGCGTGGCTCCCTTCCCAGTGGAGCAGGCAGCCCCACAGCCTTCGGCAGGCCAGTGAGGCTCTAAATGGCACAGTGGCATCGCGTGAGCTGGGTTGTGGGGCGCGGAGGACGCATGTTCGCACCTTTCCTGCTCTTCTCTCCCCAGACCCAGGCAAAGGGTCAGTGGAGCCAGACGCCCTGCGTTTGCTTCCTGCCGTGCGATCGCATCCCGGCTATTTGTTGCTCCTACATTAAACATTCAGAGGCTGCAAGTCCGTCCCCAGGGGGCGGGGGGCTGTGTGCGAAACGCTAGGCTACATGTGTGCGAAAGGCTACCAGGAGAGCCGATCAGCGAGTGGAAACAAGCCTCTGGTGCATCCAGCGTCCTCTCATGTCGCTGTGGGGCTCTTCATCCACCCCCTGCCTCAGCCCCCAGGGGTAGAGAGAAAGGAGCCTCTGTCCCGTAGCACCCAAAACAGCGGGGGGTCTGCCAAAGCTGGAGGGAGAGGATGGGGAGCCCAGCTGCATAGACTCCTGGCCTAGTCCTTCAGTCCAGCTCCCCTGTGCCGCTTTCTGGCTTCTGGTGACCTCGCCTTGCGTCCTGAGCCGCGGGTCTTGCTCAGCGTTCGAGGTGGCGCTTGGACTGTACAAAGGGCAGGCCTCTTGGTGCGCTGATGCCACGGCCGTGAGCATGGTATTAGCACGTGGAGGGAGCACTGGAAAGCCAGAAACACCAGGAGACCATCTCAACACCCTGGTGAGCTAGGGGTGATGGGCACAGAGGGCCTGTCCCTTTAACTGGGGACAGGTGTCGCTGGGGGCCCCTAAGATAGATAGAGGGGTTTTCAGAACGGCTACGGGCATTGCATGAGCTGGGTGGTGGGGCGTGGAGGACGCAGAACAGAGGGACATGGGCTGCCTCGCGCGTAGGCATGTGTGCGTCTCCCTTTCTCTCTGATGCCCATCTGCGTTCCAGTCACGGCCTGCTTCTCTCAGCACCTGCCTCGCCTCTGCTCCCCTCTCCTCCCCTCCCGAGCCCAAACTGCTCCCTCTGCACAAGCTGTGGGGCGGCGTGTGACCTTAGAGAAAGCTTTCGCTCCAAAGGGGGCCGCTTCTGCTGATGCAGGCGCTCCCCACGGAGGCCTCATCACCAACCCTTCTCGGGAAAGTCCCGGCTCCCCAGCCAGGGAATCGCCCCAAGCCCCTGGGATGGGCTTAAACAGTCTCTAGGCAGCATGACTCAGGCAGGGAGGAGAACTGTGCAGTCTGTCCCATCTACAGTTCTGCCAGTCCTGGCTGCCCTCGTGCACAGACTGACCAGGGCAGAACGGTGCCTGTGCTCCCAGCCAGCCGCCGCCACCAGCATCTGCCTAGATAATCCGGCTGCGAGGACGCAGCAGAGTGCAGGGGAGCTGGCACGGAGCCATGTCACCGCTGGGGTGGTTCGGTCTCTCAATAGGGCTGTGGAAGCCGGCGCAGGCCCACGCGAAGCCGGCTCTGACCCAGGGGATCCCCCTTCCACTGACGCTGGCAGCTAGGCTGCTGTGCCTCTAAGAGCCAAGGAATCCAGCGCACGCGGCCAAATGCAGTGGGATGGGGGAGGGCAGCGGATGGAAGCCCGCTCAGCTAGGAGCTGGAGCCAGGATAGTTCCCCCCCGCCTGGAGGAAGCCCCACAGACGCCGGGGCAGCTCGGACGGTCTCTTTCTGCCCCACTCCGCACGGCTCGTCGTGCTGAAAACCCCGGCCTGGGTGCAGGCGGCGGTGATGGGCCTGTCGCTGACTGCCCAGCTCCTTCAGTGGCTCTAGGGACCCCTGGGGTTGGGTGGAAAGGAAACGTCTCCATTGTCGCTTGCTACCAAGGCACCTGGGGAGATAGGGCCCGGACCACGCTGCTCCCAGCCCCTGGGAACCAGCAAGGGAGCTGTGGCCTCCTGCGGGGCCATCTTCTCTCCTGCAACGCTGCAAACGCTGCTCCACCCTCATCCTGCTCCCCAGCCTCCGTCCGTGTGGCGGCCGCAGCTAGTCCAGGGCTGAGAATCTCGGGCCGGGTCTGCACTAGTCTCTGCTGGGAACGCTCCTGCCACGGCAGCTCTGCGTGGGCTGGCGGGGCTCAGAGCAAACCTCGAGGCTGGGGGTTAAACCCTGTCTGCACTGAGTGCTCTGCCTGGTGGAGCTGAACCTGTGCTAGTGCAGTGGGGAGACGTCCTAGGGTAGACACGCCCGTGCCGGTCAGTCTCTGTTCCTGAGCAGTCTGTCCTTCCTAGCCACAGCCCCCTCCATGTATAGCAGGAAGGGGGGTTCTGGGCTAGCTCCCAGCTCGCTGGGGGAGCAGGGATGGAAAAGACCAAGAACCGTGTTCTGGATCATTCCTGTTCAATGTGGTGGTTGGTTCCAGCCCTGGTGTGACGAGCCCCGGGACAGCAGCGTGGGGAGCTGGAGGGATCCTTCCGACCAGTTCTCCTTGGGTCCCAGAAACTCTGAGCCCCTTTCCCTCCGATTGAAGGCAACTGCCTTTCTCCTAGTTGCGTGGCGGAGCCCTGAGCTCTTGGGGCCTCTCTGCATTTTCCAGCCCTCCTCGCGCGCTTCCTGCCGTCTGTTTCCAATTCCTCCCGGCGGCCGCTCCTCGCTGCTTGCTTTACGTGAGAAAAATCCAAAGCATTTTCTCCATGTGGCTTCGAACAAAGCCGCCACCTTGCCACCCGCCCTTGGTAAGAGGCGCAGGGCCGCAGTGGGGTGAACCGTCCTGTCCCTACAGACTGGCCAGTTCTGCGGAGTGCACCGGGCTCTGACTTCCTCAAAACCCCTCCTTGGGTTCACGGCCTCAGTTTCTCTGGTGCTCACGTTCCTTTCCGGTGCAGGGCGAAGATTGTTCCCATACGGCTGCTGAATGTAAACTGCCTCTAGCTCCGGGTAGCTGTGACTTTCCTGTATTGTGGGCGGCCCCTCTTGTGCCGTGGGGTGCAGCGTGACTGTCTTTCACCCCACCTTGAATAATTCGGATGGAAATTTTACCCCTATCCCAGCACCCTCAGTGAACTAACAGAGGCAGGGAGCTCACTGCTCTGGGGTGTGGCGTAGCGGCTTCTCAGCAGACCACATCAGTACATGGCCGTTTAGCACAGGAAATAGAGACGAACCCTGTATCCAAGTGACGCGGCAGGGGCCGAGAATGAGCTGGAACGTGATTAACGGCAGTTGATGCCAGCTCCAACACCGGGGGAATCTGCCAGGCTGGAAAACTGGCTGGTAAAACCCATTCCACTGGCACCCCTGCTCCGTGGGGCAGGGACAGTCTCTCCAAAGCATGCCTGCTGCTGGTGATAACATTGTCCCCTTGAGCCTCCCGCTCCGGTGGCCCAGCTGACCTGCCCTGGATGCCTCACCCAGCCAGCACTGTCTGCAGAATCAGCTGCTTGCGGCTAACTGTGTTAGTGGGTGCAATTCTCCCTCCCATACCCAGTCAGTCTCTGTCCTCCGACACCGGCCACTATTAAAGAGAGCGGGATGGGAAGGAAGGGGGCCTGGTGGCGGGGCCTGCAGTCTGGACTGAGCCAGGCCCCCCTGTATCGGTCAGGGGGGAGATTCTGGAGGTAGGGAGAGGCCTGTTTGCAGGGAGGGGGCGGGGGAGAGACTCTCGAATTCACTGTTGCAGGGGCTGAGCTGAGCCGCTGGCAGAGCCAGCGCATTCCAACGGCAAATGCACGTTTCCCGGCCCCCGGGGGCTGAGCAGGAAACGGGGCTGGGGGCTGGCCCTACAAGGGAGAAGCTGCTTTGGGTTGTGGGGGTGGGGGGAAGTACTCTGTAGAGCTGCCAGCGCTTTGTGGTGCAGGGAGCGGGACACGGTAGCCGTGGCTCCTGTGGGGAGTGGCCCAAGGGGTGGCTCTCCCCGCTGACTGCATGGTGCTGGTGAGGCGGCCTGAGCTGCTGTCTGGCTCCCCCAGCCTAACCCGCATCCTCTCTTCTCTCCGTGCTGTAGGTGAGTGCTGCTGGGGAGGACAGCGAGACCTCGCCGCCCAGCCCGGCCCCTGAGGAAGTGCCCGCCGCCCGGCCCCCCTTGCCGGGACAATGCCGATCCTGAAGCAGCTCGTCTCCAACTCGGCCCACTCCAAGCGGCGCTCGCGGGCGGATCTGACGGCTGAGATGATCAGCGCTCCGCTGGGCGACTTCCGCCACACCATGCACGTGGGCAGAGCGGGGGACGCCTTCGGGGACACCTCCTTCCTCAACAGCAAGGCCGGCGAGCCGGAGTCCCCTGAGGAGCTGGGCTCCTCCAAGCCTGGCCTGCTGTCCCGCAAGTTCCGCAGCAGCAAGAGGTCGCAGTCGGTGACGCGCGGCGACCGGCGGGACATGCTGGGCTCCCTGAGGGACTCGGCCATCTTCGTGAAGAACGCCGTCTCCCTGCCTCAGCTCACCGAGAAGGAGGCGGACAAAAGCGCCGGGAAGCTGCCCAAGAGCCTTTCCTCGAGCCCTGTCAAGAAGGCACCGGAGGAGGCAGCCACCACTCCGGAGGAAAAGCCGCACCCCAACGGCGCAGCCGCCCGCCCCCAGAGTCCCGGCCTGGACGAGCGTGACTTTGGGGACCTGACGGATCTGCCCGTCGTGGTGCCGAAGAGCAGCTATGGCATGAAACACGCCGAGTCCATCATGTCCTTCCACATCGACCTGGGGCCCTCCATGCTGGGGGACGTCCTGAGCATCATGGACAAAGACCAGTGGGACCAGGATGAAGACTTCGGCTCCGTGGTACCTGAGGAGCGCCGAAGGGATGGAGGCCCTACCCGGGTACCTGCAGCCCACCGGCTCAGCCAGGAAGGGAAGCCCCTGCCAGATGCCCTGCTGACGGCGCCAGCCTGCCAGGACCAGAGCAGGGGCCAGGTCAGCAGGGACAGCAGTTCGGTTTCTAGCTGCACGGCACAGGGGCTGAAGGAGCGCCGCCCATCACCCGAAAGACAGAGCTACGGGATCCCAGATGGCGCCCGGCCCGGCCCCCCCAAGCGGCACGACAGAGAGTTCTCCTTCGCGGATGAGGAGGACGACGAGATCAGAGTGTAGGAAGGCGGCTGATCCGACGGGTCTGGTGTAAATTTGCGGTAGCTTGGGCACAAGAAGGGATAACCTGAAACTGACAATGTCAGAAGAAATGGCACCGGGAGACACTTAACTCAACTCCTTTCCCTTTCCCCACGGGCTGTGGCCAGATTCCCCTCCGCTCCTCTCTGACGTCCCTCCAGGGACTGGGCGAACCTGTGAAACGGGAAGATAGATGTCGTGGGGTTAGTTTTTGCTATTTTGAGGTCGCTGTGGGAGAGGGAGAAACTTGGGTTTAAAGTCATAGTATTACGTCAAACAACCTCTTCCTGTAAGGCTGCTGATCTCTGCGAGCCGGGGAAGAACAGCGGTCGGGAGAGGGGAAGAGCCCGCTAGCCAGTCTGGAGACAATTCCTTTCCCAGAAGAAAACTCCAGTCTGTACTGCAAGGGGGAAACGTACTTTCGTTTCCATTGGACTTTGGATATTAACTTGATCTACTGCCCACATCAAGTAATACAGAGTCAAGCGACCAGGACAAGGCTTAGAGCCCCAGTGCCCTTAGGAATATATATTTTCCCCCTTGTGTTTTTATTGGTCTCTGATTTGTACTGGTAACTCTTTTTAACAGCAGATGAGGGGAAATTCCAGTCTGAAAGAACTTGGTTCAAGAGTTTAGACTTCTGCATATTGTAGAGTGAAGTGGCATGGGAAAGCCAGCGGTTTCTAAGCCTGCAATTGATGGTACTTCTCTTTGGGCAGAGCGCTGGGAGGCCCTGCAGCTCCAGAGGTGGGGGGAGGGATTTTTTTACTCTTGTATCTTTTTTTTTTTCCCCTTCTTTTTTTAAAGTGTCCTATGTTGCAGCACCTCTGGGCCCACGGGCTCCCTGCAGCCTGCCACAGCTGCTCCTACATATTGGACCCAGACCTCATCCAGCCCCCCCTTGAGAAACCCTCTCCTGTCCCTGCAGCAGCATCACATCTCTGGCACTGCGATGCCCGGACACACACACACACACCCCCGACACAGAGTGGAGCTGCCTGCAGGTCTGGCGCTCTAGAGCACTATGGTGCCATTACCAGGTGTGTGGAAGGTTACGGCGGAAGGAGCTGGAGGTGCCTTCTGGGGAATCCCCTTAACAGGGCTGGGGCAGAGATGTTGGCTGGCCCCCCCAGCTATTCTATTGCTGGCCCCTGGCCTGCCCTCCGCTCCAACCCCTCTGTGCCCTTTCTCTGCTGCATGAGCAGATGGGATGCCCTGGGAGGCAGCTGTTGGTGGGGTGAGACCCAGCTGCCCTCTGGCAAGAATGGAACAGAGGGGAAGGGGGTGAGCCCACATTCCTGGTCTTAAAGCTTAGGGGGATAATGTCTGGCTCCTCGCCCGGCCGAGCCGTGGGAGCCAGTCTGCACATGTGGGCACGATGGGTTCAGAGCACTGGCACAGCCTCCTGAAGCCCAGTGGTCTGGGAATGGGCAGCGTGTGCAGGAGACGCAGACTCGCTCTCCTCTGCCCGGTCTCCTCCCAAGGGAGACGCCCCCCGGGCAGACGCTCCTGAGCCCAAGGGCTGCCAGGGACGGCCTGACTAGGGGTGAGGAACCATCCTATCTAGGACTCGCGGCTGTCAGCACCACGCTGGAGAGATGTGTCCTCGCCCCCTGGGCCCTGCCCTGCCTTCCGCACGTCGCGGGTAGCAATAAAACACTAACTGGGACCTTTTCTAACTTATTTTCTTTTTAAAAGTTGTTTTGCGCTAGATCCCCTCCCCCCTAGGTTGAAAGTAGCGGCTGGGTGCCCCAAGGCGTGGCCTAGTCTTGCCTTGTGACTGGGGCTCTGTCCCACGTGCTGGGAGCTGTACGGTGCAGATGAATGGAGAAAAGGGGGGGGGGAGGGTTATGATGTATGTAAAATGCAGAACAGAATTAAACGGTAGTGAAAGCAGTGCCTGGCTCCTCGGGGGTCTTTGATGCTGGCTGGGGGGGTGTTGTGTCAAGAGACTCTTCCCTGTTCTGATTTCTGAGGCTCACTTCTGCTACGCTGCTGAAAATGTCTTCTCCTCGCCTGGCCCCTGCCCCGCTTGGCTTAGCTGCAGGGGCTCTCCCCCTACTCAAGTGGCAGAGACCTAGGGTGACCAGATGTCCTGATTTTATAGGGACAGTCCTGATATTTAGGGTTTTGTCTTATATGGGCGCCTATTACCCCCCGAGTTTTCAAACTTGCTGTCTGGTCACCCTACGGAGACCTCTGGTGCCACCATAACCTCCGTCTGGAGGGTGGGCAGAGACCGATGGTGAGTAACCAGGAGCTGCTCCCATGTCTAGTGTCCCCAGGGCTGCCCAGCAAATCCACCCACCCTGCTCGACACATTGCACCTCCCTCGGCTGGAGCGCAGAGGCCTCTTGCGCTGCGGAGGGAGAAATCCACCAGGCTAATCGCTCCTGGGGGTTTCTCCTCCTGGCGGGAGATCAGCCCTGCCTCTGGCTCAGACTCCCTTTCCCTTTCCGTGGGTTTGAAGGGGAGATGGGCTAGGCAGTGCCGCTGGAGTGGGGCAGGTACGGGGAGGCGGGGGGGGGGGGGGGAGAAATCAGCTGGCTAACAGACGAATGGACCAGGGGGAAGCAAAGACCTGCGCTTGCAGCTGTCGAACTCACCAGTTGGTGACTAGCCAGCAGCCGACTCTCCACGGCACGTCCCTCTGGCGTCACACAGGGAGCCTAGCCTTGCTCTTAACCACCTTTCTGCCAGGTGCCAGCCTCTGAACCATGGTCTCCCAGGGAGGGGGCCCCTGGCAGCGCCACGTGGCCTATAGGAGCTTCGAGCGCTGCCCTGTGCCCAGTGATGGGTCCAGGTTGCTTTTTTTACATGGGACTCGAGCAGGTCTTGGCACCGCCTGCAGCCAGGTAAGGGTCCCTCCGCCTCTGCGGGGCTCTTCTGATGCCCCCTGGAAACTCTTACGTTGCCACTGCCCCCTGCCGGGGCATGGCTCCCTTCCACTGTGCCTGGGAACGCTGCCGCTGACGGCTCTCCTGGGCCCATGGGGGTAGTCCCCTGCTGTGCTCTCTGCAATGGAGTTGGAGGGGGAGTGCCAAGTCTGGGTGCAGCAAAGGGGCCTGCACTGGGCAGAGCGGGGGGAGGGCATGAGGTGCTGGCTCCTGGGGGTTGGGCATGTTCCTTCCCCCCTCCCTGCCAATCTGAGGCATGAGGCGGCCAAGCAGAACCAGGAGCCTGCAGGGGCGAGGGCTGCGAGGCTCCAGGAAAGAAACAGCAGCGTGCTGAGATGCAGATGCAAGTGCTGCGCGGTGGCTCTCCCTGCCAGTGGCACTCCTGCCCCACGGCATGTCTCTCTCGGCCTTTCTGGTTGTGCTGCCTGCTGGCCTTTGCTGCTCTTCCACCTACTTCCCCCCCCCCCCCTTCCAGACCAGTGCCTGGCATGTCTGCTGCAACCAGCCCTGCCGTGAGTGCACCTCGAGCGAGGTCCTCGCGCTGCGTCGTCCAAGCCTGGGGCTGCTCCAGAGCCCCAGATCCGAGCCAAGGGGGAAACTGGCCCAGGGTGGCTTTAGCTGCAGACGCTGCTTCGCAGGCTCTGGCCTCGTTGTCCCTCCCCGAGGCGCGCTTGGCCTCGGCGCATAAAGAAACTCTTTCAGGGAAGCTGGGCCCGGGCACAACACAGCCAGTGTTTGGACGTCAGCTGCTGATTTCATAACCTTCAACCCCTCAAGGCTGTTTATCTGATTCCCGCGCCTCTCCCAGCATGGAGTTCGGGCCCTGGCCCCAGCCACGGAGCAGAGCCCCAGAGCTGGACCCCACCATGGCGGCTGGCCGGGTTTGCTCCCCAACGGCCTAGTGGGGAGAATGGGCCCTTTGATGCTGGAGAGGCTCATGGGTTGAGGTCTATGTGTGGGGAAAATCAGTCTGGCCTCAGCAGAGTGGGTCAGGGAGATGGATGAGCTGGTGGCTTTGCGAGATCAGGCAAAGCTAGCGGCCTTCGCTCTGGGGGGAGCTGGGGCTGGCGTGTTGGGGAAGGGCAGAGAGGAGCAGGCGCTGAGCTGGGGTGAGGAGCAAGGGCTGCGGCAGGTGCCCTACCAGAGCTGGGAGTGAGGGGCATTGGCAGAGCTGTGCGTGTAGGAAGCCTGGGGGTGGAGTAGCAGGGAACTGTGGGCCAGGACTGAGAGGCATTGGCAAGGCTGATTGGTGGGGGGAAAGACCAGGCCTGAGATGGAGGGGGGGGGCATGGCTGCCGGGGGCACAGCAGGGCCATCAGTCTGTCCCGGTGTAGAAACACCGTTCTGTACGAGCGTCACTTTATAAAGCAGGAGGGAGGCCAGAGAAAGCCCAAACCCCACCGGGCGGTGTGCAAGGGGTGAGTGTGAAAAAGCCCTGGTGTGCAAGAGGTGAGTGTGAAAAGGGGGGGGGGCGGGGTCAGAGGCCTGGACTCAACCCTCCAAGGAGCCAGGGCGGGTAAGGGCCTAGTGTGAGGGAAATGCACTCCAGCACAATGCAGGATCTATGCAAAAGGCAGCTGCCCATACAATGGAGCAGGGGGCTGGGACATTGGCCTATTGTTCTGGGGAAGAAAGCACAACAGCAGCTGGCCCGGGCTCCAGGACCGGTTAGCCCTCTGTTGTTTCTTAAAGGGCCAGCGTCTCAGTGTACCTCACTGGGGGGCTTTCATGTTGCCTTGTGTTACCCGTCTCCCAGGGGCAGGGGGAGCCAGGAATGTATGTATGAATGGCTTGTCTGAAAATGGGACCTTGCTCCTAACCAGCCCAGGCCGCCTTGCTGCCCCAGCAGCAGCGAATGGAGCCGGGGCAAAGCTTCAGAATCCCGAGCAGGCGCCAGCCGGGTGGGTCTGGAGCCAGGGGGTTAGGTCGAGTCTCTCCCTGCTTAGCACCAAGGGGATAGTAGGGACTGAAAGAGGCTGTCCCACCCCAACGAAACTGCCTCCCTGCTCCACACTCCCATCCCAGCCTCCCTTAAACCCCCAGGTGATGCTGCAGTCGCTTTCCCCTCCTCACCCGTAGCTTCCTCCTATGACCTCCGGTCCTGACCCCTTTGCCAGCGGCCCAGCGCCTCCGCCCAGCCTGACGTGCCCCTGCAGCGTGGGGGCTCGGTTCCCTGCCAGAGCTGGACAACAACAGGGTCTAAAACCTCAGCGCCGGAGCAGGCTCGTGAGTTTGTGGGCGCAGTGTCTCCCTCAGCCCTTCCTCAAGGCTGTGTTTCACTTTCCAGGAGCTAGAGGCCCCCGCACGGCGTAGGGGGGTGCCTAGGAGATCACATCACTCTTGTCACAGATCCACAGGAGCGGGGCTACCCCCCGGCTTTGGACCAGTCTCTTGGAGGACCCCCTCAGTGTGCCAGACCCCCCCAAGGGGTCTCACGCCTTCAGGCCAGGCCACGCGGCCTCACTGCCTCCCATGGGGCTCCAGCTCTCCTGGTTCACACCGTGGGAGCTCTGTTCCGCAGAGATGTGGCTGTGCTGCAGGGATCAAGGCACCGCACCAAGGGTTTGCCGTGACACTCACAGAGTGGGGTTTATTAGCTGGTCCTTAGGTCAGCCCAGAGAACTGAAGGTTAAAGCCCAGCCCCGGGTCATTGTGGTCAGCCTAGAGCCCCATCAAGCTCTGACCCCCATTGGTCAGGCTCTTTTGGGCTCAGTCTGACCTCCTTGCTCAGATCCCAGGTGAGAGCCCGGACTGCTTCCAGGTGCCAACTCTTACCCTCGCACCTCTCCCTCCTTTGCTTGTTAGCTGGGAGATTTTGGTGTTAATGTCCCAGTGGTGGGCGTTGCCATTTTCAGACACTCCACTGATGTGGGGCTGGCCTTGGCCTTGAATGACCCATCCTGCCTCAGACAGCTAGGCCTGCCTAGAGACCAAACACTGAGTAGCCAGCTGAAATATAGGGGAAACTGAGGCACACATAGGCATCGTAAAACTCTTATAAGAAATTCCCACTTCATCGCAGCCCTCTAGGGGCTGCAGCCTACGATGGCTGTAAGCCCTACCACCGCTGCATACTGGCAACGTGGCCATCCCAGTAACTACGGAATAGATTCCTTTGCCCCTGTCTCCTGTGCTCTGCCCACTCCCCGAATGGCACCACGTGTGCCCGGTTCATACCCACATTGATAACAGTTCCTCTTCAGAGCAAAGCAAGATCTCAGCCCTTCTGCCCCTGGGCTGTAGCCGCTGGGCCTGGTCAGTTATCTAAAGCGGACTTTCCACAGGTGCGGGGAGGCCACAATTCTGGCCAAGTCAGAGCGAGCTGTGGTGTAGGGGCAGTGCCTCTGGAAAACAGGCTCCCAGTGTTTTTATGTAGGGCTCCTACTGGGACGGGACGGGGGATCTGTTCCCCAGGGACCATGCTGTCTGGCTTTGAGTGCTCCAGGAAGCAGGGTCTGCTCCCCCCAATCCACCTCATGGACAGGCGCCACTTGCAACATCAGGGCCCAGGTATCCCAGGCAAAGCGTGCCGTGCGTTTCTGAAGTGACTGTCCCCTTTTGTTCTCCTGCCGCAAGGCCAACCGGCTCGCTCTGTCTCCTCCTGTAGCTTAATGAGGCTCTCACCGCAGGCGGGAGCAGGACAGGGGAACCCAGCCACTCTGCCCTCCATTCTTGTGGCTAGACCGCCCCAGAGCTGCTGCATTGTCTTGAGCCCGAGCACAGGAAGCCGGATGCCCCTCGCTTTGGGGGGTGGTGGAGTGGGAGCAGCACCGAGCCGCTGGGGAAGGCGCCCGCCACGCGACCCCCTTCAAACATCAAGCAGCCACCCGCTATCGTTCCGACGCCTGTCACCTTCAGCGGCCCGTTCGAGAGCACCCGCCTGCCTCACGCTGACAGGGCAGAACGCGCACCACGGCTGGCTGAGCAGGCAGCGGCGAGGGCCCTGTGCTCAGCTCCGGAGGGGGAGAGGGAAGCGCTGGCATGAGCGCACGAGGCGGCCGTGCCCGGTGCCAGCAGGAGTGCAGGGAATATGGCGGTGGAGGCTGAGATGCCCACATGACTGAAAGCCTCCTCTGTCAGGGGCATTGTGGGAGGGTTAATACCCACGCCAGCACCTCATTGGTCATTCAGCTGCTCGTTTGGCACAGGACAAAGCGGGAGCAGGTGCCACATGGCATAGGCCATGGCCCTCAGGCTCTGTACAGAAGCGGAGACATGGGCAAGGCTGGCATTGGGCTGGGGAGACTCCGGTGCCTCCATCCCTGCCTAGAGCTGACAGCTGGATTCTGCCTCTGGCCTTGGTCTCGCTTGGAGGATGCCCATATTAGCGAGGTTGTGCGCAGGCCTGCTCAGAAGCCTCCCAGAGCTCAGCAGCACTCGAGCTGGGTCTAGCCAGGCTGCACCATGAAGCCCTCAATATACACAGTGCTGGGCGGCATGTCTCTGCCCTCCTGAGTTTTGGGGTGGGGAGGCAGCCGTGCCACCTTGCAGCTTGGGTGCTCAGGGGCACAGGAGTGACACAGGTTCATGGCACTTTGATAAGTGCCGGCAGGTCGGGGCCATCTTTTAGTGGGGTGTTTGTACAGCACCGTGCGCAGCAGGGCGCGGGCCACGACTGCAGCTCCTGGGCTCGCCGCTGATCCAAATAATAAATAATACAAGTTCTGGCGAGATGAGAGTGTTTGGCCGTCGGCTTTCATAACACATGCCAGAAGCAGAGGTGGCTCTGATCTACACAGTTCAGCGCCAGATCCAGATTCAGGGGGGTTCCGTACCACGTCACCAGCTCACCACAAAAGCTGCTCTCAGGTGATGCGATAGAAACGAGCTAGGACTGGACCTGGACCCAGGCGACTCCCCAGACGGGCTCTGCAGGAACTGCCCTCTGAGAGGATCCAGCAGCCAACGACCGAGCTTGGGAATCTCTTAATGCCCCACAGCTAAGCTCTGTGCAGCACGGAGCCCTGGCAGTGAAAGAGTTAATGCAAAGCGCTCAGGGGGACCCTGCGGTTTCTTGTGGAAGATGCTGGCCAGCTGGTCTCCAGGCCTAGCCAGGGCTGGAGGCTAAGGCAGTAAAAGCAGATGGCTGTGCAGAGAGCCATGGGGAGGGGGGGTTAATACGGCAGGGCTGCTTGGGGCCCGGGGATGATTTCCCTACCGCTGCGGCACAGCCCCATTCAATCACAGCTGCAAATTGAGACCAGATGCTGGGAGTTGCCCTCCAAACCGCGGCCCCCTTCACCAGTCCCCTCTGCTTGCTGCCGGAGAAGGGGCTGCAGATTCCTGGGGGCTCAGCGAGGGAGGGAGCTGGGGGCTCAGCCTGGTTTCCTAGCCGGCTCGGAGAAGAGGAGTGCTGGGAGGTGCTGGGGAGGAAGGCTGCAGAGGGGTTGTAGCACCCAGGCTGTTAACTCTGAGCAAGCAGCAGGAAGGAGGGGAAGGGCGGATATGGGAGGGAGGGAATTTGTAGCTGGCCCCTGCTTCAATCCCATTCCTCAGCTGGGGCTCTTCAGCCTGCCTGAGGCAGAGGGGGAAGGCTGGCCTGGCCTGGCTCCACTCTGGGCCTGGGGCTTGGCTGGGGGTATCTCCTGCGTCCCGCTGGCTGGGAGGAGATGCAGGAGATCATCGCTGGGGTGGAGAAGCTCATGTTTGATGTAGAGCGGGATGTGGAGCACCAGCGAGGGGCCCTGCTCCTGCCCTTCCCAGGCATGGACAGTAAGTTGGAGTGGGACCTGATAGCCCTACCCCACCCCCCCAGGTCCTGCCCCAGCTCTGTGTTCATGCTCCCAGCTTCCGGGAGCATCTCTCGCCCCTCCAGCCACCCCCCTTTGCTAGGCCCAGAGAGGGCTCTGGCTCGCGATGCAGAGCCGCTTGGTAGGATTTGCCCTGGGGCTGGTGAGGGGCTCAGGGTGGAGTGCTGGCGTCGTCAGGGGCATGGGGGGGACGAGGGCTGCATGGGGTGTGGTGAGCAGAGAGAGGCGCCCCCTGACATCCAGCCTCTCTGCAGGTGGTGACACTAGCGGTGACTGGCACCCAGGTACCATGGTGATGGGCCCACCCCAAGATCCCAGAAAGACTCAAATGGGGATAGATGGAAGGGGAAGAGTTCCCCATCCTAGTTGATGTGTTTGGCCCAGCCCAGGGGATCCCATCCCTGCAGAGCAGCAGGCGATGCCTGGGATTGTGGTGTCCTGCGGGTGGTTACGAGTGGGTGAAACCCCCCCCCCCCCATAACTGCATTTCCCCTTCCAGAGTCGGGGGCATCCGTGTGTGAGTTCTTCCTCCAAGGACTGTGTGCAAAGGGTAAGTAATGGGAGCCCGGGGGAGCAGGGATGCTGTTATTTCGGAGATTGGTAGCCTGACAGGGAGCCTTTCCTCTCCAGCTCCTTACACAGATTCCAGTACCAGCCCCTGGGGCTTGCCCCCTGCTCAAAGGCCAGCGTCCGAGGGGTTGGTGGATCTCAGCCCGACCGCCAGTGGTCAAGTGCCATCACCATGAAAACCGCCATCACATCTGGAATTAGCTGGCCCCTTGCCAGGCATCTTGCCAGCAATAGCCCAGAGTAAATGGGCTGCTTGGAGCCGCACACCGCCTCTCCCTGACCTAGAGGGGCCCCTCCAGACTGGGGTTGGCGCTGACGGAGCGCACAGGCAGGACACGGGTGCTGGGGAGGTTGGCCTTGTGACCAAGGCACTGGCTGCTGCTCCAGAGGCCTGGGTTCTGTTTCTGTCACTCCTGTTCTCTGTGCCTGTTCCCCACCCGCCCCCCCATCTGTGCCATGGGGCTAGTGCCCTTCCCTGGCTCCTGAGGACACTGGGAGGATGCCCAGGTACCACGGATGGGAGTGGTACAGAAGCCCATAGGCAGGGAGTTCTAAGCATCAGAGAACTGAGCTCAGCGGAGTGATTCTTGGGCTCCCACCAGAGCCTCGTGCCCCACCCCTGGGAGCGTCTCTCTGTCTGGCGATGCCAGCGAAGTTGGCGAAACCCTGCTAAGAACAGGATTCTCATGCTGTCAGCTGTGCCAGTGACACCCCGGCTGCTGGGATGCTGGAGCAGGCTGGGGATCATCTCCCAAGGAGGCTCGTAGCACCAGGCTTCGGAGGGGAATAGAGTCTGGCTGCCACGCCCCTGCCCTGGCTGTCCTGGGAGCAGGATAGGGTGACTCTGCGGGAGGAGTGCGGAGTGGGTTCTTCTGGGCAAGGCAGGGACCAAGGCGTCTGCTCTGCTCTGCGTCCAGGCCTGATGTGTCCTTTCCGGCACATCAGCGGGGAGAAGACGGTGGTGTGTAAGCACTGGCTGCGGGGGCTGTGCAAGAGGGGAGACCTGTGCGAGTTCTTGCACGAGTACGACATGACCAAGATGCCGGAGTGTTATTTCTACTCCAAGTTCGGTAGGTGCTGGGAGCCGGGCGGGGGCCTGGCACTTTCTGGGCAGGGTTAGGAGAGCTCTAGCGGGTAAGGGGGTGCAGCTACCGGCAGATGTTCAGACGCGCCGGACTCCATCTGAGCCAGTTCTTGTCCTGTCTGGAGCCCACGTTAGCTCTGCCACTACGGGTGGGTAACTGCCCTGGCGAAGGCACATTCCGATCCTGGCTGACCTTACTGAGAGCTAACCCACCCCAATGCCCAGTTCGCTTGCAGGGCAATGTCTGATTTCTAGCTATGCTTGAGAACGGTAAGCTAGTGCCGCCTGGTGTCTGTTAGGAGAACTGCCCTCTGGACTCCTTGCTTGTCTGCTGGGGAGCCAGCCCCCCAGCCCCTGTTCTGCAGCAGGTTCCCATTTCGCCAGGAGATCTGGGAATTCCCTGCCGGCCACGCCCTGCCCCGAGCCAGCTCCCCCCAACGCAGCAGAGCCAGTCCCTTGGCGAGGGGTGTTTCTCAGCCGGGCGTTTAATGTTCACGTCGGCTCCGTGGGCCAGGTTCAGGGGGCTTGGCCCTGATGTCGATGCACCCGTGCGGGTGGAGGCCCCTCTAGCAGAGCGAATGCTGCACCCTGGAGGGGCCTGTTCATGTTCAGGGTGAGAGCTCCAGAAAGCCCCATGGGCGTCTAGCAGGGCCGGCAGCTGGGGTGGGAGGGAGTGTGCTAGCCAGAGCCCCCGCGTGGGACGGGGATAGAGGCTGGAACCACGGTGTGAGCGACTGGCAGGCTGGGGGGCTAATGGAAACCCAGAGAAGGAGGGAGGTGTTCTAAGCATCAGGTAGGGAGCACCTGGAACCCCCCCCCCCTCCCCGGATTACCTCAAGTTTGACCCTGTGTCAGTGCTGACTTGACCCTTCATGCTTTAGCTGGGGGAGCGGGAAGGAGGGCGTCTCTGGCTTGGGACTTTAAGGACCAAAGCCCTGTTTGCTTTGTGTGAACACGTGCCTGTTTGCCGAAGAGCTGAGGCCAAAAACGTCCTCTCCCCTTCTTATTGTACAGCATGGTCTGTGCTAGCTGGGGGCTGCGTTCCAGCCCAGAGGTGGCTGCCTCTCAGTGGCGCTGTGTGCACAGCACTGAAGAACTCTGGTGCTGTATAAACTGCTGCTGTTATGGTACTTTGCAAGGGGGGAAGTGCCTGAAGGGGTGGGAGATCTTTGCCTGACTCACCTGGAGGGGCAGGCGTACAACAGGGTTCCTAAAAATCTTTCGTCTCCATAAATATTCTCTCCAGGCGAGTGCAGCAATAGAGAGTGCCCCTTCCTGCACGTTGATCCAGCGTCCAGAATTAAAGACTGTCCCTGGTACGACAGAGGGTTCTGCAAACGGGGTGAATACCTTGCGCTCGGTAACCAAGTGAATGGGAGCGTTGCCTATGGATTTGAGCCGGGAGCGCAAGTGGCAGGACTCCTGGGTTCTATTCCTGGCTCTGTCACGGATAGTGAGGCGCTGAGCAGCCTTTTTTGTGCCTCAGTTTGCCCAGCTGTAAAATGGGCCTAATACTTGCCTGGCAGTATCCTGGGCTTATTGACTGCCCTTCAAGGGCTTTGAGATCCTCCAATGATAGACGCTATAGAAGAGCAAAGTGTTTATTAGCTAATTCAGCAAGGAATGATTGTTAATGAAGCTTAATTAAACATTTTGCAGCAAGCATCTGACTAACAGGAGCTAGAGATGGAAAAGGGTGTGTGTGTAACCAGACCCCCTGCTCTCAAAAAATGCAAGAACGTTGGACATCGTCTGTGTCTAAGCAAAGATCTCTGTCCTTCTCTATTCACCTTCAGCCGCTTCCCACCACTAGCTGAACTTCAGCTGTCCCATGTGGAGACCCAGTCGGTGCCTGGCTGCTAACACGGCGGTGTGCTCCTATCAATGGCATGCGTGATGCCTGTTCAGTTGGCATGCATCCTAGTTGGAATTCTGGGCACTGAGGGCAAAATTGGGGAGATGGGCTGCAAAGAAAGGAGGCCACAAACTCCCCACGAAGAGGGGGGAGACCTAGTCAATCAGACTCTCCATTCTCTGGTCCCAGGAAGGTGCCCACCACTGACCCAGCCCAATTTGTAGCCACGGATTGATTTTGATGCTGACTGACATCTCTCCCTCTTTGGGTGTGCGTATGTGGCAGGTCCGCTGTGTAAATACAAACACACCAGGAGGGTGATGTGTGTCAACTACTTAGCTGGCTTCTGCCCCCAAGGACCCAAATGCAAATTCATGCAGTACGTATCTGGAGGAGTGGAGGGGTAGGAGAGTAGACGCGACCTTGGCAAGGCCTTATTGGGGGGGGGTCTCTCTACCAAAGCCCAGAGAGTGGGCTGTCAGTCTGTCTCTGACTGTGAGATGGATGAGCTGAGCTCCAGCCGGGGGCGCAACCTTCCTCTCTGCAAAGCAACTTGATTTGTGGCGTTCGAAAACTTGGTTATTCCTTTCCATGCACCCCTTGCCAATTCTGTTCTGTGGCCACGGTGCCATCTGCTGGACAGGGCAAGTGGCTGCGGAAAGGAGCATGAGCCCTAGAAATATAACTTCTGGGAAGGCCGAGCCTGTGTGGCTGGCATCCTTTCTGCCCTTCGCTTCCCGCTAGCATTCCCCCCCCCCCCCCCCCCCCCGCTGAAGCTGGTTGAGAGTCAAACCCAGGATGCACAACGCGTCCTGGTCAAGCCCAGCAGAGCTGCATGTGGCAGAGGTTTGCACAGTACCTGCCGGCCCTGCGCCAGCCTTTATCAAATCTATTGCTTGATATGACTGGAAAGCGCCAGTTTTCAACTAGAGGCCTCTGTCAACCCTACCCCTTAGCCCTGAGACAGTCTCTTCCCTTGCAAGGGTGCAGAGGCCTGCAGTTACGGGTTGGATAGATTAATACTTCAAAGGAGCTAACCGCCTTTCTTTTCCTTCTGCACCTCCAATAGCCCCAAGGCAGACCTGATGCAGTGTAACTCGGATCTCTCCCAGGTAAGGCATGGAAAGGAGAGCTGGGTGGAAAAAATTTTTTTTCCAGTGACTGGCTTGTTCACCCCCAAAACCCTGTTTCTATCGACCCGAAACCATTCATAGATTTGTGTCAAGTTCCCTGAAAAGTTTGGGCTGAACCAAAAAAAAATCAAAATGTTTCAGTAAGGGTGAAACTGAACCCAAATTTGTCACTTAAATGTTGGGAATTTTTGCAGAAGCTCAAGGACTAGATTCACAAAACACTCGAGGGATGGGAGGTAGCCCCTGACCCCTTATAACCTTCCGTGGTTAATACCCCCCTCTATCTGATGTGGAGATGGGATTTGAACTGGGTCTCCCATGTTTCAGGACAGTGTCACAGCCACTGGACTTGAAGATATTCTGGAGAGGGTCTTTCTCAATCTCCCTTGTTGAAGCTGTGCCACTTCTTATAAATAATTAGTCATTGGAACAGGGACATGCGTGCTCTCACGACCCAGCTATAGTCATTCTCTCTCTCTGGCCCAGCAACTATCCATCGTCATTCAGAGTGGCAACTCACCGCCATTCATGACCATGAAAGTTGAGATCTTGCGTAATAACATGACTCCAGCAGCTGGGTCTTTAAGAGGGAAAAAACATTGTGACAAAATCACCAGTTGCCAAGGCTGGAAATCCTGCTTTGACACCCTGAATGCTCCTGCCCTGTATCTGTACTCCAGGTGGTACCAGTCCTGCCTTGATTCCACCTCTCTTGACTGATTCCTCTTGTGTGCTTCAGGGGCTGCCATCGCCATCCCGGGCTGTTGATGGCAAGAGTGTTCACGAGCAGCAGGCCCCGGAAGTCCTGTTGCTTTCTCATCAGCCTGGGGCTAGGGCTGCCCAGTGCCAGAGGAAGAAGGCACAGGAGGCTGGTGGCTACCCCTATGGACTGCTCCGGCCCCTTGGGCAGGTCACATGCTTCAAGGTTAGTGTCTGGAGCTGGTTGGCTGGGAATCTCTTCATATTGCAGCTAATGATTCCCGCCCCTTCCAAACAGAGACGTCCGTACTTGGTGCAAGACTCGTGTGGCCTTATTCCTGAGGCTACTGCTGTTGAGGGACCAGTGAATCCTAAGCTGTGACTACCCCGCTGGTGTTCCTCAGGGGATGGAACAATGTTCTACTTCAACTTAAAAAGCACTTGGGTTTACTGATTTGCAGCAGTTCTCTGCCCGCTAGCCCCTTGTCAACACATGCTCCTCAGACCTCTCTGTTCTCCTGGGTTTCCCAACCGTTTTCTCATGCAGCCCACAGGACTGGGGGGTCTGGATTGGCAGGAAGGGGGCAGTTGTCTTAAAGCCAAAATATTCTTAGACTGCAGTGCTGTAGGATCAAGGAGGCAGCATGGGACACTAATGCCACTGAGGGGACTTTTGTCAATAGTGTGTATGATCTTTGGGTCAGTACGTTGAGTGCCTCGGTGACCCACTCATGGCCCACGTGGGACAGACTATCAATCCTACCGCCAGGGAGTAGGACTTCATTTACGCAAGAGTGACTCAGGCTGGGCTGTCAGCATTCCTGCATAAGAAGAGCCTTGCCGGATGATACCAACCCACTATCTCCATCTCTTATGCCAGGACAAGGTGGGGGGTGGTGTGTTTTGTTTTTTAAATCTCCATCACGAACAATTGCTGTCTGTTGTACTGGGTTGATCTTGCTCATAGGGGCTACACAAAGTCAACGTCCTCCTATTTTGTTCCCTTGCAGTGTGGAGAAAAGGGTCACTATGCCAACAAATGCAGCAAGAGTCGGCTGGGAATCCAACTGGGGAAATGATTTGCGAGAGTTTCGGGGAAGAAAATCCAGAGGAAGATGCGGTGTTGTGAGATAGTATCAACGGGAGGCCAATCAGGGCAGTTTTCTTTGAATGTAGAGCCCAGTCAGAGCCGTCCTGCTCCATGCAGGTTTTTTACAGCTCTGCTAGGAGAAGAGGAAGGGGGAAATGCAGTTGCTCTAATGTAACTGTAAATTGGATGTTTATTTTCTGACCCCATGCTGCTGGGTTGGCAGGTGGCTCAGATCTCAGACTGGTGTGTCAGACACTGATAATCATGCCAGTACTAAAACACGGTTTTTAAAAGGCACAGTAGAACAGTTGGTCTGGATTCCGGTTAATATTCAGGAGACTGGTGTGTGGAGGGATAAGAAACTGTTTCAGTAGGAGTGCAGTTGAAAGAGTAGCTAGTGGCTTCTAAACTACAGTTCATCGCACTTAGCAGGATGCCCTGTATTCAAGGCAAAATCAAAGTTATTCCCTCTCCAGCTACCTGAGACAGTCTCCCTTGAAAATCTCATGCAACTTTCTGTCAAAGGCTTTTCTAAGAAATTCTGAAAGAAGCTGACTTTTCCGTAGTTTGGAGTGGCTAGAGTACAGGCTGGGTACCAGAACTGGGTTTCATCACGGACTCCGACTTGACGTGTGACCTTGGGCAAGTCACTTAATAGCTGTGCGCCTCAGTTTCCCCATCTGTAAAATGGGGCTAACACTACCTTAGAGGGGTGTTAAGGCTTGTTAGCTGCTTTGCAAATTAAGCCTCCAGTGGAAGACGTGATAAATATTGCATTTTAAGAGAACACATACTAAGTCAGAGTTAAAAAAACACAGGAGATTTATTGTGGGGGAGAGTTAGTTCTTGGTGAAATGTGGTTTTACTCTTGTTCTGCTTCCAAAGAGGAGGAGTTTTTTGAATGCTTCTGTAACTTATTTGTAATAAAGCTTTTTGCCAACAGTTCTTCTATCGCTCATGATTGCATTACATTTTTACAACCCCTGTCCTGGAGAGGAAACAAAATCTTAGCCAGCTCAAGGAGGCTAGAATCAACACTATTCCAGTCAGTCTTGTTTGTTCTAGAAGAGTGATGTTCTACCCAAAGGGCAGCCTAAATAGCGAATACTAGGGCTTGTCCTCTGCCAGCACGAGGATGCTGCAGTGCCTCTTTACAGGTCATTACTGAAGCAGCCCTTGACAGACTAGCATGTTGTGTACAAAGGAGAGACAGTGCCGTGTGGATGCCACCTTTGTGTTGCACTGGGTGTGTGAAGTGAGGTGGAGAATGGCTCTTTCCTACCCTGACTTCCATGCTGTCAAACCACCGGTTTGTACACTTAGCTTGTACAGTGCTTGACTTGCCAACATCATTATCCTTACACAAGCCAGGCTTTGCCGAGCGTGAAGTCCGGGCCTAACTCTATTCCCTTAGACTTTCACGCAACCCCGTGACAAGCGGCATGCCTTGCTTAACGCTGAGCTGCATCGATGAGATGTGGGACATGGACTGGGACCAGAGGTTATAATGCTTCCCTCCAAGCATCCATAACAGGCCCCTTGTACCATCCTAGCTTTACAATTGAGTTGGGGGATGGGAGCAGCTAGTCCCTCCAAACTACTGCTCTTCCTCTTATTGGCCAGGACCCTCTGCCAAATATTCAAACCGGAACCTGCAATTCAAATGTAAAAGATCTGGGAAACCAGGGCCTGTTCGTCCCCCCCCCCCCCCCCCCCCCACGAGTTGTTCTCATGGGCCTGGAACATAGAGAACCAGATTCAGGTTTGATATGGGCTAAAAGCAGTAGCTATTGGGGTTTGATCCTCCAGTTTCTGCCGCTTAGATACTAACCATCAACTCAAATTTCCTGCTAGTGCTCTAAGGAAACTGTCAGTCTATGCAGAATGTGCCCCTACCCCCTCTGGCTACTAGTACATGATATGGGAGGGTAAATAAAAAGCATTCGCTTTAGCAATAAATTAATTACAACAGCCGAGACAGCTGTCCTGCAATCCCTTGTGTTGGGTTCGAATGCAGATCGTCCGATCCATGCCTGATTCTCATGCAGCAGTCCAGTATTTTCTGTCTCTGGTCCTTGAATGCCCTTGTGCCTTCCTCAGTGATACCTGCGCCAGCGATCTTGTTCTTTACCGAGCGAGAAATACAAAGTTAACGCTACAATATGTTACCCCTGGTGAAAAATAGTAATGTTTCTCTGGTAGTGTTTAAAGTCCTCCTAGATATTCAAAGGACCATAAATGTCTAAACTGCTTTATTGGAGTGGGGTTTAACTGATCTTTTTGGTTTACCATAATTGTCTCCTGCAGGTTGACTCTATCATGCTTCAGCTGTCTGGCATAGCAGTTCAAGGAGGAAGGGAAGAGAACACAGCGGCAGGAATGAGGAGGTTTAAATCCTAATTACACCCAGCTAGTAGCAATAAGAGTATTGCTACTCGTCAAGCTCAACTGGTTAGATGTTTCCATGTATCTGTGCATGTGCCCAGCCCAAGTGCAAGGCACACTTCTTTGTGCTTTCCCCAACATAAATACACAGCCACGTGTATATTAAAGCCCCCCCCCCATCCTACCAAAACAAGACACTTCACTGCACGTGCTTCTCCCCTGGGAAGAGAACGAGAGAACAAACATGGGACAGCCGTGTAGTCGCGTTGCTCAATGCAGTACTGGAAGGTGCTGAGATGGGGATGTATGCAGCATGGCACTGGCCTTTTTGACACGAGCTGTATGACTGAAAGGGGACGGCGGCTGGAAATTACGTTTTTAAATAACGTAATGCTTTTCATCTTCAAAGCGTTTTACAAATGTTAACCTTTAACTCGGAGTCTACAGCAGCTCTCTCAAAAACAGTTGCCTGATAGGAAGTTGCTTAAATTCAGCAGTGTGCGGAAAGCCCCGCCCTAGAAACTACATGAAACAGGAGAGCATGCAGGATTTATGTCCCAAGGGGGAAGGGAATGCAGTACATTCTCAATCCCTCTAAGCCAGCACCATAGTCACCAGCCTTCTGGACAGGGTAGGAATAGTTATCACTTTCTTCAGAGCTCATCACTCCCTTCATAGACCAGCTGTCTCCGAGTTGAGTAACGTAGGGTATTCCCTTCCACCAGCTGGGGAATGAGACCACTGCCTCTGTAGCATGCCCGGTTCCTGCTGTGCAGGGTATTAATCACAGGGCATGAAGCCACCAACCAGCCTGGGCTAATGTTCACCCCCATGTCAGCTTTTGCTTTCTCCAGAAGGCTTTACAATCCATAAATAATGGATAACTCTCGTCAGTTCCCTGACAGGGAGCTCCAATATTAGTGTTTATAACCCTGAAATCACTTGACTAATGAAGAGATTTTTTTTTTGCTCTAAAACGAAAGAAAGATTTGCTTGGAAGAGACAAAGGCCAAGAAGAAAACCTTACTCAGATGCTCATATCTCCAGCCATAGCTGAGGATGCAATATCCAGCCAACAGCATGGAGATCCCAGCAGCTCCACTCTTCTTTACGTCGATGTATTTGTTGTAGTAACTGCTCCAGGCTGTTGAAATAGAAACATGGGGCCAGCTTGGTTATTCATCTCAAATTAGGGCTGACTGATCCAACCATTTGGCTTTTAAAATTACAGTAGTCTATCAAGCCACTTCCTTTTACATGAAGATAACTCATGCCAAATAACTCCTATTGTCTCTCACATCAACGTACTACTCCTGGGTTTTTTTAGACTACGCTCCAGACAAGTTAACAGAGAAGAAGCAAGTGATCCCGGCTCACCTTTCTGCACTGCTCCGAGCAGTCCCTTTGGAGAGAAATCACAAGCTGCCAGCCAGGCAGGCAGATCCCTGAGCTTTACCTCCATCAGACGTCTTTCTACGAGGGGAGCTACAAAACAGAGTCACAAAAGTCAGAGGTGGGAAAACAGGGCTGAGTATTTTGCCCACACACACCATGATCTGCAGACTGTACTCTACGCACGGACTGGTCTCTAGCACAGTTCAAAATGATTCCAACAATGGGGCTTTCCCTGCTACTTTTGGGGAGGAAAAACATACAACCCTTCCCCCTGGACTGGAGAGATCTTATGCTGCACTGAGGTATGTCCTGTCTAGGAAAAACAATGCCCACATTGAGGGAAGCCACCTTGCTTTTCCATGGAAAGCCATGCTATTCCTAGTGAATGCAGTTATGGTCCCATGTGACACCCCATAAATGAGTGCTCACTTAAAGAACAGTCACCCAATAAGTCCCCGACCCCCCCTCCCCAAATCCTGATTTTATATAATGGATGTAGCCCATCAGCGGTCGCTATTCAGTACATCTCAAAAGTGATGATTGAAAGCCTCCTTTTACCTTGCGGTCCTTCCAAGAAACCAGGCTCTATCTTCTTCATCTTGATCGCCGCGTCCCCCTGGAGAAGTCTCCCTGGAAACATGCTCAGCCTCTGATAATTAGGATACAGTTCTGGAAACCACTCCAGTCCAATGGATCTTGCCTGTATGTTCCTGCCAGAAGACTGGAACAGACAAGGAGGTTGGTTTTCAGAGGTGTAGCACAAGTGTTGTTTCAAAGCCAGCTCGCTGTCTCTTCTCCCTGTATTCAGAACAGACTCAGAAAGTAAGGCAACCTGCTTTTCATCCACCAGAAGCTGTTGCACACAGGTTAGGTAGTTGCTGGCTATTCCTTCACTGGCTCCTCTGAGAGTCTCTCTCACTGACGGGTGGGGCTTCTCAGCGAGGGAAGCAGAGAAAGAGGCCTTAGAATCCACATCACCATTTAAGTAAAACTGCTTCTCTTCTGTCTCACTTTTAGCCACTCTGTCCAGCGGAACGAGGCCACAAGGGCTCTTTCCACAGTCAGCCTTCCCAGGATCGCTGAGTACCTGCATTCTAGTTGCAATTAAACGATTGCCTTTTTCTCTCTCTCCACTCAAGGTATTACTTTCTGCAACCTCCAGACTAAAAGCATTTGTGTTCATGGCCCCCGTAACGTTCACGTTCTTCCAGTGGTCAGACTGGACTGTGTCTGCATGGCTTTCAGAGCAGTCTGGAGCCAGCATTTCCAGATACCATCCCTGGGTTGTACAATTACCTGTGGTAGCACTGTCTGCCAGAGTGCCCTGAATTTTGGATTCATTCCTACCTCTTAGCACTTTGACACGATGATTCTCAATAACTACTTTCACTCCCTCAATAGCCGCCCTGGGAATACTTTCAAGATCACAAGTGGGTAAATCCAGAGAACCAGCCACCTCCTGTGTTGAAGACCCTACCTTCCTTTGTTTCTGTTTTGCAGATCTTATTGGGTCATTAGGAAACTTTGAAGCAGATTTTCCATCCTTATTCAAAGAAGAAAGCTCCAAAATGCCACCAGGTGCTGAATTCTCATCATGAGAAGTATTTTTACTTCTGCTTTTCTGTTTGGTGGGTAACTGCTTTGCATGCTTTGCTTTTGAAGTCCTCTCCTCTGCTGCATTCATGTGCATTCTGGCCTCTTCTTGAACTATTGTCATTCCTTCATCTCTGTGTGTCTTTTCAGAAGTCAGTTTAATTTGCCGCTTTGTATTTTTACCTGGCTTTTCTGCAGGCAAGTTGCTGGCTATTTCTGATCCAGCAGTACCCCCTATTTGTAAGGAGTTTAATTTGCTTTCTACTTTGTTCCCTATTGTGTACAGGGATTTTTTCTTACTTTCTCTTTCGGAGCTATTGTCTGGGGTTGTGATCTTCTCTTTGCTTTGTCCCCTTTTTTTCTCAGTGGCCAGGAGTCTAACTGGCTTGGACTGAGACGCTTTCAAGTCAAGAGAGGCCATCTTGTCTAAGTTAAAAGCAGCTTTCATGCCTCCTGCCATCTTACAGTATGGCAAGTGGGACTTCAGTCGCTTAAATGGCTTTCTACAATAGGGGCACAGTTCCATTCCTGGGGGGGCACCTGCCATCTTTCTGTCTGGAAAGGAAAATAAAAAGCTTTATCTACTAGCATGTGTCATAGCAAGAAGAAATTCTGTGATAGGAATTATAGTGAGATGCTGTTCAGGAAAGGTAGGCAGGAGTGGAAATGAGGCCAGTAGCAGGGTCTAGTTAGCACGAGGAATACATTTTATCCTGTTGTCTGGTATGACCAGGTAAATAGAAAGGAAAGCACACACAGTTAAGGGGAAAAAAACACTCCCAAGTAAAAATAAGACAGTGGCTGAGTGAGATTGAGGTACAAAGGTAGAGAAAGCCCTAGACTGGCCAAAATTGCAAGACTCATACAGGAATGCAACTTGCCAGGGTCACATGCATAAAACATGTCCTTAATTAGGCACGGCACTTGCCTACATCCTGCATTAAACCTTGAATGAATGATCCTTGCCTCAGCTATGGGTGAGCTTTGCACTTTTGATGGTAGGGGTCCCTGAGCAGGATAACTCATTCATGCTGCCATTTCTGCACCTTCTAAAAAAAAAAAAACCCCCCACCCCTGGTGGAAAGAGATTTTGTTTTGCAATGACCGAGGGCTCCTGCTGAAGTGTTGTTTTCCCTTCCCCCTCCTCGAGCAGTTAGAGGCACAAAACCTCAAAGTAAAAAAGCAGCAATGTTTGCCTGACTCCTAAGCGTCCTGCAAGGATAAACGCACTGGGAGCACTAGGGAGAAGAAAGCAGGGCTCAAAGTGCTGCCTGATCTGTCTGTGAGCCGGATGTGAAAATAAAAAGGACACCTCCCTTC